TTTATGTTAATTATTACTTTTTCTGAAAACCTATATTCAATTAATATCAATGGTTTACCAAATTTTTGTATAACACGTAAATTTCCTCCAATTTATCTTCAGTTTCTAATTTCTATTACAGAATTCTAATTTCTATTCTAGAATTCAGTAATCGCTTATTAATAAAAGATATTTAATTAACTGCACAAAAATTCATGCTCATGATACAGGTGCACATTGATATGAACAATATAAAGCGCTTATGAGTATACATAAACGTGGTAACACTTTCAACATGTACTGGACGTGTGATTTGTGTTGTTAAAAAAGTGTAATATAAACAAAAGAGTGTAATATAAATTTTGATGTTTTAAAATATCATACCAAAGAATATTTTTTTATTATAGTATTTCCTTTCAACAATAAAAAAATGCCTCCTATGTCACATAAAATATAACAGTAAAATTCTTTCGTTGGGCTTGATGGACGAGTGACTAGCGCTCTGGCGCTTGGTGCTACAGGTTTCGGCTTCGAGTCTCTGCGGTGACATGGATGTTTATATTACTTCAAAATCCCCTTTAAACTTTAGAACTGGGTATAATATGGCTGTTGGGAGTACGGCTAACAACCTTACCGTGTAAAATGAAAACATCTCCTGTCTCGAAACCTTACAGTAGGCAGATGACTGTTGTACCATGGAGTTGTTGCTCCATGGAGTTGTTGAAGAAGAAGAAAATTCTTTTGTGAAGAATATCTTATGCTACTTTAAATATTTTTATAATTAAATAACGTTAATAAATATCTTTTGTTTTACAATCAGGTCGCATGTATTAATTTTAGTTCGTAAGAATTTAAAAAGTATTTAACATCTAACAAACATAATAGACTAAAACAACAAAAAAAAGTACTTTTTTTTCCGGAAACTAAGAAATTATTTTTTCTTATAAAACTTTAATGCATTTCTTTAAGAGTATTTTTAAATTTTTCGACGAAAATTTTTATGTAGTACAATAAGTCTCTGTTGGGGGTCTTCTGGCTGTTAAAAGGATCTTTTATCCTTTTTTTCCCTTCTTAAATGACTCTTTGTGTCACACTCATGTTCCTGAGGCAACGAGCACTCATACCGTGCACGAGTACTCGGATTCAAATCTGCTGGTGTAGTCTATTGCAATTACTAAATTTAGAAGAAGATTCGGTGGTGATTGTGTCAACGTGCTACACTTCTCGCATTGCGTTAAACAGCCTGGAGTGAGTTTTACTAGATATTTCTAGTACGACAAGCAAATGTGTTATAATTAACTCTAAATGTCTTCCAACACAGTAGAGATGTACCATCTCGTGAATCTGCATCACGATTACAACTATGGTGAAAAAAATCCCCATTATAATAAAATCTAAACAAAAATTTAAAAAAAAAAAGTTATAAGATTTCAAATGGTTTTTTTTTTTAAATTTTATTTTTTAATTTGTTTATTATTATTTTTTTCATCTTATGCCTGTTTCTGATCTCTCGGTCATTAGTCGACGATCAACCCAGTACAGTAAAGAACGACAAAAACAATCACTAACGGCATTGTAAATAACACAAAAAAGGAAACAGTTAAAAACAGTAATACATATGATGAGGTGCTCTCCAGTCGCACGCCATGATCGCAAAGTGGGCAGATATTTTTTAGCAACCAGTCCTATTCTATACAGGTGACTCTGTAAGTAGTCATGGCCCGTGACAAGTCTAAAGCAGGCCATGACGACCGCTCTAGTCAAGGAACTGCTAAAAAGGAAAATCTAGTTGACTTATTCAATAGGGAATTCCACTTTTTCTCAGGAGCCTTCTCTCTATTCAGATTGAAAAGGTGGAATTTAATAGCTTTATTTATTCGTTTTATATGCAGAAAAGAAAAATATCACTCCCAAATTTCTAATGTAAAATATTTTAGTGGAATGCTCGTTATTGCATTAATGATAACCTAGTGGAACTATCACGTGGATGTATTAAGAAAATGTCGCTTTTTTTACTATATTCCTTTGTTGTTTTTCATTTTCAAACCCAATGGATTGATGAATAGCGCGTTGGGTTTACGATCTAAGAGAGCCGATTTGAATACCAGATAAGAAAAACCAATCTAAAGCTTTCCTGTCTATTCCGGGAATTGCACGATAAATCTGTTGGATTTAAATAGGTGTGGACTCCATTGGTCAGTAAATCCTTTTGTTTGGATCGATAAGGAAGGGCAAATCTAAAAATGCTACGCCTAATAAATAGATAAACCTGAAGATACTATGTAGAGATTGTTCAAAATTGCACTGAAAAAATGTGGATGAAACGTAGCAGGCCTCATATTGCACCCAAGCTTACGCTGTACCTTGATTTGTAATGGCGTATGACTACATATGACAGCGTCAAGTTTTCGAAAGAAGCAGTTTTTCTTCACTTACCACTTTTTTTATCTGTTTGGTTTGGTTTGACGCTCAACGGTCATATTCTGTCTCACGAGAGCTTAACAGACACAATTTAAGTGGGACCTACAGTTTAAAATGAATTCCGGACCACTACAAACATCCATGGGACAGCCGGGACTCGAACCCGAAACCTGTGGTACCGAGCACTAACCAATCGACCATTGATCTATTAACATCTTTATTCGATTGTCTAAAACGAAAATATAATAGGAATAGGTATTTTTAAACCCAATTTAGTTTCTTTTGCTGTGAGTATTGGTTTAGGAAATACACTGCTTAGTCACTTTGCTTCACTAAATGAATAGTATCATCTTTTACACGCTATATCTCCATGCCTAGAGCCAGTTTGAATTGGTTTATCGTCCTACGATCATTTTTTTGCACACTTTGGACTAATTAGATAGGACCTACAATTTATCATGCATTCTGAACAACTAGCAAACATCCATGCCATCGCCAGGATTCAAACCTGAAGCCTGTGGCACCAACGGGCCATAGTCCTAGCCAATTGGCCATCAGGCGACATCCTATAACTGAGAAGGCCTTTTACAGTTTGAGGGGTGATGGCATAGCAATTTTGACCGAACATTCCCAACAAGTAACAAGTAATTAGTATGAGAGTAGACGCCTTTATTGAAGATTTCAATCCCCTAGGTTTAGATTGCACGTGAAAGAAAACATTTTACGACCTGGTTAAAACGGGACACGTTAGTAAAATTAATATTAATGCCTTAATTTAACTGGCCCTAATTAAAAAATAAGCACCATGGACCATTGGACCATGTTACTTCTTCTTCATTTGTTCCACAGCCCCCATGGTGTGCCAAGGCCGTCAGCCTGTTGGCAGATTTCGAGACAGGCAAGGATTTCTTGTTTCTTACGGGGTTGGGTTGTCAGCCTTACAGTCAACTCTCTAAAGTTTATTACAGTTTAAAGTTGATTTCCGAACCACTACAAACATCTATGGCACCGCCTTTACTAGAACCCGAACCTGTGAACCGAGCGCCAGTCACTCAACCATCAGGACCTACGAAAATGTTACATTACATTCATTTTTGTCTAGAATTTTACCAATTTGGAACGAACATTTACAGGTCGCGGATCTGAGGATTTTACGTTATTTTTTCCTTCTCTTCTGTCCCAAGGAAATGCGCTGTCCTTTCATGGAATTTATCGTGTCCATATCTCTCGCATATACAAAGAAGTTTTTGGTTTGGCATCGTATATGAGCTTTAAATCCACCACTCTTAATTCAAAAACCCAATACATAATATACCACATTTCTCAGGTTCAGTTAATAGACATTAAAAAACAATAACAATGTCACCAATGTTATTTTTTCCTCCTCTTAAATCCCAAACAAATGTGCTTTCCTTTTTAAGGATTCATCATGTACATATCTCCAGCACATACATAGAAACTTTTGGTTTGGCAATGTTTGTAATCAAACACTCTTAATTCGAAAACCCATTGCATAATAAACCACACTTCTCAGGTCCAATTAATAAACATTAAACGGCAAAAAAATCTTCGTCAAAGTTATTTTTCCCCTTCTTCTTCCCAAAAAAATGTGCTTTCTTTTCTAAGGACTTATCATATCCATATCTCCACCATATACATGGAATCTTTTGGTTTGGTATTGTTTATGTTTTTAATTCGAAAATCCAATTCATAATATACCACATTTCTCAGGTTCAGTTAATAAATATTAAAAATACAAAAATCTCTTTTAAGCTAATACATCAACATATTCCAATGTCGTAACATTCTTAAGAGAAGCAGTTCAAACAAAGCAACATTGCAAAGCAAAAGCAACAAAGCAAACAAGCACATAATTCCCGAACTGCTTGCTTTTCTTTGCAACTTCTTTCCTCCTCTCTGTGGATCGATGGGCTAAATCATTTTAATTAACCTTCTCCACAACTGGTATTCGGTTACCAGACCCCTGTAAATAACTATAATTACCAAATCAACATCCATTACCGGCTGAAGAATTCTTGGCAGTGTTCTTGAAATAGAGTGCTTCGACGCCTCTGTGAAGTATTCGCCTCAATAAAAGTCTTCTTTGGAGTTTAATTAGATGCGATTAGTTAGCCTTGGATTTTGTGAAGGTGACTGATAATTAATTAATATTCACCCTAATATGTGTGATAAAATGAACGCATTAATTATGAAAATTTTATGACGCAGTTGTTTTAATCAATTAATTTCTTGTATCATTTCAAAGGATGGATTTAACATTTGGTTACGAAACATAATAATATTAAGATTTGTATGTTTTGTTTTGTTGTTGTTTCTTATCCCACTTGGCTAGCCAAGCCCACGAGCCCATATGGACTCATGATTGAAGGGGAAGGAAGCAGCTTCTGTTGTGATGGAGCACCCGTAGGTAGAAGCCTGACTTTTGCTCCGTGACGCTCTTACAGTCATAGGAGACCGGGACCTACGGCTTAAAGTGGATTGCGAACCACTACAAACATCCATGGCACCGCCGGGATTCGAACCCGAAACCTGTGGCGCCAGAGCGCTAGACACTCGGCCATTCAGGTCCCAAATTTGCCAACGGCACGCAGTGTTCCCAGGTGGTCACCCACCCAAGTACTGACCGCGCCCAATGATGCTTAACTTCGGTGATCTAACGAGATTTGTATGTACTAAGGGAATTAAAGTAATGTAATGTTTGAAAGTGTTTCCGTATATATATTCTTTTCTGTTATTTATTTAGTAATGAAATGAAGTTAAATATTATTGTGAACTTTTGTGATATTTCAGCAAATGTGCTTGTAAACATTATTTAGAGTATTTTTTTAAATGAATTTGAGGTTCAGTATGTAATAAAGGAATGTGTTACTGTATGTTAACAGTTATCTTCAATTACCTATAGTTAAAACCAAAGCTTTTTTAAATTAGATTTCAATTAATTTTAATCACAAAGGCATGAAAGGGTCCTGCTGCAATAATTTTGATTTATAAGATAGGAAATTTTATATTAATTTCCCTTGTTGCCTTTATATTAATTTCCCTTGTTGCCTTTATATTAATTTCCCATGTCTAAGACATATGCTTAAATTATTTTTGCTTACCGCTTGATATTGTAGCATTTTTTTTTCACGAGAAGAGTTTTGGCATTTCATTCCCAGGAGAGAGGAATGTATGCTATTTGACAAACATATTATAAACCCATCACTCAAATTTGAACGTATGCGAGCTTTATTATGGGTAGTTATATTACATGAAACTAGAGTTTTGCCAACGGCCGTACCATGCTGAATATACCGGTTCTCGTTAGATCACCGAAGTCAAGCATCATTGGGCGCGGTCAGTACTTGGGTGGGTGACCACCTGGAAACACTGCGTGCCGTTGGCAAATTTGGGACCTGAATGGCCGAGTGTCTAGCGCTCTGGCGCTCGGTGCCACAGGTTTCGGGTTCGAATCCCGGCGGTGCCATGGATGTTTGTAGTGGTTCGGAATCCACTTTAAGCCGTAGGTCCCGGTCTTCTGTGACTGTAAGAGCGTCACGGAGCAAAAGTCAGGCTTCTACCTACGGGTGCTCCATCACAACAGAAGCTGCTTCCTTCCCCTTCAATCATGAGTCCATATGGGCTCGTGGGCTTGGCCAGCCAAGTGGGATAAGAAACAACAACAACAACAACAACAGAGTTTTGTACTCATGAGAGCAACCTGTCACTCAAATCTGATAGCAGATATTCGGTATCATGTTTAATGAGGAAATTAAAGAATGTCTGTGAGACCTTCACAAGTTGAAACAACTACAGATTGATTATGAACTGTAGGATGAGTTGTCCCATCGTGATGGGTGATAGACCACGAGTTGAGAAATGCCTACTCCAATGAGAAGTGAGGAAAGCTGTAGCCTCCCCCTCCCGTGTTGACGAATTGTCTTAAAAGGAGTTTTTTTCGGTGAAAAATGGAGAGAGTTCTGCGACGAGTCTTCCAGAAATGATGTTTTTCTTTTTTTTTCTCTGAAGTGACTGAATAGAGCAAAGTTTTCAGTCTGTTTACAATGTGATCCCCTTGCGGTTTCGTGTATCACGCTGTTTGATCATTAATGTCTGCCACAGACCAAGTGTTTAGATTTATCGTAGATTCGAGAACTCTCTCAGTCGAAAATCTCCGAATTTGTAGTGAACTGTACTTCTGTCTCTAAATTATATCTTTAATTTTCATTTTTTGTAAATATATATATAGAGAGAGAGAGAGAGACGTTAAAATATTGAAATCTACATTAAATAATTAACTATTTTAATTTTATATGTTTAATTCGTGCATTACATTAGGTTTTGAATTACGTTTTGAAAGATAATTAATGTCTGAAAAGTTTTATATTCATAAAGAGATGATATCGGTTTCTATTTAGGTGAGCTACCAGTCTACCAGCCCGACGCTGAGCAACAAGGAAAAATATGAATATTTCTTCAGGACTGTTCCTTCTGATGTCAACCAAGCGAAGGCCATTGTGGAAATACTCAAGTAAGATACTTATTAAAAATATCTATGTTTCACTATATTCATGTTGATTTTTCAATTTTGGAGGGGGTTTTTTTTCTATTGCAGCACTATTTTTTCACGTCATTCAATAATTTTTTTTTTCATGATGCCAAAGAAATTTTCACCACCATCGAAGTAGCAGCTGATGAAGCATACAACAACATATCTTCCCACTTATGTTAGAAGCATGAATGCTTAAATTTTCTTTTTGGCGGTTTGTCAACTGATTGGATCACTTATTTTAGTACCAAAATTTTGCCAAAATTCGAATATATACCTACATTTGAAATGGCCGATTCTTGCCTTGCGTGTTAGAGGAATGTAAAACTTCAAACAAAATTGGCAATTTGCGCATTGATGTTTCTGTTATTAGATAGATGATAATTAGCCATGTTGTGTAAATGCAAAAACTTAGCAACTGCAAACATGTAAAAATATTTTCATTTGAAAATATGTCTCAAATGAAAAAATGCCCTGCTTTCATTTTATTAGATGGTAATGCGAGTCCTCAAAGAGCTGTGATCGTCAACGACTATAAAGAGAGTGAAAGAATTGAAAGCATGGAATGACCAGTGTACTCGTTCGACCTTAAAAATCTGTGTTGTCAAAAAAACAAGTAATAAAATAATTAAAAAAAAATTTAAGTCAATTCCTAATTTTTTTTCTCTCTATTGCAGAAAGTCCTTTATAAATAATTTTCATTCATTTTTTTAAGTTTATCTGGCGCCATCTATTGGTAGATCTATGCAACTTAAATCTAAAAAAAACTAAACTTAATTAAGTTCAAAAAACAAGTTCAAAAAAAATGTATTTGAACTTGAGTGGAGGAATAAAAAGTATTTTATTAGCTATTGAAAATTTGAACAAGATATATATAGGGAAAGTGTGAGCGAATAGAACGAATTGAATAATGTGTTGTGTGTAAATGTTTGCGATTTCCAGTCACTCTCGACCAGTTGCAAACTGCTGTATACGAGGAATGGCGATTACTTGACTCTGCGGTGGTTCATCACTCATGAGAAGCCTGATCACAAGCTATAAACTTCGTATGCCGATGAGGTGTACTCACTTACTATAATTAGGTAGGGGTAAGGTAAGGGGTACTACCTTATAATAAGGTAGGGGTTATAGTATGTGAGTATGTCGGTTTGTTTGTTTTGGCTTTAAACATATGTTTCTTAATGACTCCAATATGAGTTCATCTTATGAAAATTTAATATTGTTTTCCTCTTTGTAGGGTTTTTTTCCCTTGTATAAACATATTTGCTGTTTTCCTGTCGCATTTAGTGTCAATCAAAGCAAAACTTGATTTTTCGGCATTTTACCGCTGCATACTTAACCTTTGGCAGTGAGTGTATTTAAGCGACAATTAAAGAAGGACAAGAGAATCAAGCGTACTTAAATTGATGTTGATGTATTAAAATTAGAGAGTACAATTGCATAATCCCTGAGACACATTACTTGTGTCAGCACACGGAATACAATAAGTGACATAGCAGCAAATATCTATTCGTACATTAAGATTGGCTATAGTCGCAAATCATGAAATGTCTGCAAGAAGCTGTCACCCTGACTATAACTAGCTGAGAAACTATTTGCAATCTAAGTTGAAATATTTAGCTAATCCTTCTGGGTTTGAAAGTTAAAAAAAACAGGTGCTGATTTATCCAAAATCTGATCACCTTTGTTGGAGAGGCTCATTGGCTTAGAAATTGGTCTTGTAGCTGAGGGATAAAAATCAGCTGAAATAGATAGTATTATATGACCTTTTCTATCAGAATTGTATACTTGAGAATGGGATGGCAAATCTACCTATCTGTATAAACAATTGTAATGTTACAAAGCTATGTTATCAGTCCATATAAATCGTCAGAAATGTATTTGGTTGTAAGTATTGACATTTAACGATTGCTTACGTATGATTTAATGCTACAGAGTGCACAATGAATTCTTTCATTATACATCATTACACCGACCCCACACCTAAGGTTATAACATAGGGTGTGGTTACATTGGGTTCGATGCACATTTCTTCAACTCTGCTAGGCAGAATGTCATTAAATATTTATTCAGGGGTATGATTGTTCCACATACTCCCCAGTAATCTGACTACGTATCAGCAGAGTAATCATGTCCGCAAACCGTTTAACTCAACATCATACACTTCCTCAAGATACAAATTATTTAATAAGATACTAAAAATACCTCAAAATACTAATTTGCCAGATTTTACACCAATTATTAATAGTGTACACATTGGACTCCAACGGGATATGTTCAGTGTGTCCAAAGTGCCAGCAATTTTAATTTGTTTTTTGCAGAATATTCGGTACAGAATATTTAATTCTAAAATTTATTAATGTACTCCAAAAATGTCAAAAATATTTTAACGCCTTTAGATAAAAAAATAAATGATCCTTCACAACTATTTTTTCAACTTTATCATGGCATTGCTATAATCAAAGTAAAAAACACAGTTACTTTGTAATCTAAATTTTTTCTCTTTACAACGAATTTAACAGTTGTCTTACAACTTCTTTTTCTGACATTGACAATCTTTTCTGCAGAAATAATAAAAGCAGAGCGAGGGAGTCATTATGGATGTGTGTTTCAGGGCATTCCACTGGACCTATGTGAGCGTGGTGTACTCGGACACGGACTACGGCAACAAAGGCTACGAGAAACTGCAGGAGCTGGCTCCCCGCGAGATCTGCTTCTCCAACCCGCAGAGCATCAACGTCGACCATTTCACCGACACCGACTACGACACTGTCATACAGAACCTCATGCACAAGACTAACGCGAGGGGTGAGTATGCGGTCAACTGTTTTTAAATATCATGGTAAACTTATTATCTTTGTATGAAAAGAAGGTATACATAAGTTTGTTTAATCCACTAATATTCTTTTTAATACCCATGTATTTATCCTGATAGATTTTAATGAGATTTCCAAGATATTATTTTATGTAAAACTTTATTTTAAGCTTCCTTCTTGATTTAGTGTTGGTACTTCAGGAATCAAGATATTAGACAACTGTTTAACTTCTCAAACGTTCGCAAATTTATATTTAAATTTTTTTTTAAATTTCTGCAATAATCTTCCTTACACTTGCAATTCAGTTTTAAATTCTCTTCC